GCTGCTTCCTGGTGTTTGTTTCTATGTATTAGGTAGAGCTGCTATGTCTCCTGGAATTTGTAGAGTGGCTTTGTGTAGTAGGTGTCCTGTAGGGTCCAGTGGCTCAGCCTCCCCAGTCCCCTGAGCTGGGCCTTCTAGGTGCTCCCCTGTGTGGGCTGTGTGCACTGTCCTGTTGTAGCTGAGCCTTGGTTGCTGTTGGTGTTACTGGGAGGAATTGACCCTCAGACCAATCAGCTGTGAGCACCAGCTGCAACTACAGCCAGAGAGCTGGTGTGCTGGAGACACCCCTGTGGAGCAGGATTTACTTCAGTGGAGCTTTGGTGTTCACCAAGTGCGCCCCTTGAGTGTGTCACTCGTGGATGTGGTAGGGTTGTAATCCAGCGTGGTCGAGTCTGACCACCAGGTGCACTGTCTCTGAGGCCTCCCGGGAGGTGCAAAGTCAGCCTGTTGCCAGTGCCTTGCCCAGGGCCACCCAGCAAGAGCTACTCAGAAAACCGTAGTGGCTGCTACTTGTGCTGGGCTTGGAGGTGCCCAGGAGAGGCCAAGCTGTGAGCCAGTGCAGCTGCCACTAGTGCAATGCCTGGGGCCACTTATCAAGCCGTATGGGGCAGCTGCTGCTTGTTTGAGAGATTTTAGGAAAGTCCTAAGCATGAGGCTCGAGAGGCCACTTGCACAGAAAAGCCCCTGGAAATGGCCTGGATGAGCTGCAGGTGGGGAGGGGCGGGGCCTCCGGGAATCACGGGGCGGGGCCAAAGGTGTGAGTCAGGTGCTGGCGATTCAAACATGGCGCCTGCCTGCCGGCTGTGTGCGGGGAGGACTCGCCAAAGGAGCCATGGCCTCCGCCAGCCCTTCTGCCTGGGAGGAAGCTGCCCCTCCAGCTCTCGCCCCGATTTCAGGCAGGTTAGTTCCTCCCCGAGTGTCCCGGGTCCTTTCAGGCTGCTGCCCGGCGCTGGGCTCAGAGGGAGCGTCCGAGTGAGTCCGTGCCGGGCCCTTTAGAGGAGCTGCTGGGGCTCCCGCAGCCTCCGTGACCCTCAGGGACAGTCCCCACTGGTTTCACAGCCTGGAGTTGTGGGGACGTCTCTTCCCGCCCTGGAGCCCTGGGCTGGGGGCCTGCTGTGGGCTGGGACGCCTCCCTCCTCCGGGAAACCCCCACCGCCGAGATTCCCTCCCGGGTTTAATCCGAGGCACTGANCCTCGCTCCTCCGGGAAACCTCTGCTGCCGAGATTCCCTCCCGGGTTTAATCCGAGGCACTGAGTGTGGGCTCGGGGCTGTGTCTCTGGGATTCAGCCCTTATCCGCCCGCATCTCTGCCCCTCCTCCCGGTCTAGGTGCTGCTTCAGCTCCCTGGTTGTGGGGCTTCTGTGCAGCCAGATCTCAGGAGGCTCAGAGTGATGGTGGTTCTGCATTTTAGTTGTGATTTTGATGTGATTGCGGGAGGCTGCAGGTGCAGCTGTTACCTACGCCACCATCTTGTTTTCCTCCCCCCAAATATCTTTTTAAATAGAAATTAGATTATACTCTCCAGATTATATTGTTAGGGGTTCAATTTATTTTTGTTTTCCAGTTAACAAGTAGTAAAGGTTTTGCATGTCTGTATTTACCAGCATATTTGTCTGTGTTGTTTTTCATTGCTACATACTATTTCACATGTACTATAGTTATTTCGTGCTCAACCTAATGCCCTCTCAGCAGCTCGCAGTCGCTCGCTCTGCCCTCCACTGCTTCCCAGCCACTGCTCCCCCATGCTCTTGCTCCCCCTCATTTTTCTCTGGGGATTTTCTCCACCTGTTTTCCCCAGGGGCTGAGGGCTCCCAGGGTTGACCTCGGCTCCTCTCTTCTCGAGCTGCACGCACGTGCGAGGTGCTCCCCTGGAGTCTGCCGTCCTTACATGTCTCCTGCATGCTGAGAGCCCTTTAGTTTTATCTCCAGGGGGATCTCCCATGAACTCGAGACTTTCAAATCTCCGATTCCAAGCCCGCACCTCTATCTGGGGGCCTGAGAGAACATTAAAACTTAACATAGCAAAGTTAGATTTGAAAGCTCTCTCCACCCTCCATCTTCTCCATCTCCGAAGATGGCAGCACCTTCTTTCGGTTGCTCAGGGCAAAGGCTTTGAATGAGCCTTGCTCCTCTCTGCTTCTCAGCCCCACGTCTGTTATCTGCAAGTCCCGTAAACCCTGTCTCCAGACTCTCAGACTTCTCACATCCTCTAGCACTCTCACCCTTGTCTGCCCCCTGTCCCTAATCCGCCTCTCGTTTAGATTATTATAGTAGCCTCCTAGAGGGCTCCCTGCATCTGGTCTCCCTAAAGTCTACTCCCACACAATAGCTGGAGTGATACTTTGAAAACATAATTCTGGTCAAAACTATCCAGGGGCATCTAATCTTACTCAAGTAATCCAAGGTGCTATGAAAGACCTGCAGTACAGTACCTGACCTGGGCTTCTTTCAACATGCCCTCTTCCCTCTCACCCTGCTCCTTTTTTGCTGTTCCTAGATAATGCCAGCCATGTCCCTGCCACAGGGCTTTTGCACTTGCTATTTCTTCAACCTAAAATGTTCCTCCCACACTTGAGCACAGAGCTGCCACCTCACTTCCTTCAGGTTTCTGCTCACAGGGTCCTTTCCTGACCACGCTATCCAAACCAGCAGCACCCCACCCCCACCTCCAGCCTGGCATTCTGAATGCCTCTTTGGCCCTGTGCCACAAGTTTTAATATGTAGTACTCTAATTTTCTTTCATTTCTAAATAGTTTGATTTCTATTTCAATTAGTTCAACTCAGTAGTTATTGAGTTTTCAAACAGATATTTAAAAATTACTATCCCTTCTTGTTCATTTCTAAATGGTCAAGGAACATGGCTTGCATGTTTTCCTGCTGTTTAAAAAGTACTGATATTTTCTTTGTGACCGATGGCATAATACTTATGCAAGGTATGTTTGAACCCCCTCCCCAAATACAGTATTTTGGCAAAAATTGTATGTCTAATTGTTTGATCCACACTTCTCTGTTTCATTTCTTTTTATATTGTTGGTTTATTTCTGAGAAATGTATGAAAGTCTCCCAATATTATTGTGCCTTTGTCTATTTTTCCTACTATTTCTTTTTTAAAAATATTTTTTAAAAATATTTTTATGAACTTTTTCTTTTTTAGAGAGAGAGGAAGAGGTAAAGAGAGAGAGAGAAACATTAATGTGAGAGCAAAACATCAATCAGCTGCCTCCTCCACGCCCCCTACCAGGGTTTAAGCCCACAACCTGGGCATGTGCCCTGAGCTAGAATGGAACCAGCAACCGTTTTATGCACGGGACAGTGCCCAACCAACTGAGCCACAGGGGCCAGGGCAACTTTCCCTACTATTTCTACCAGATTTTTATTTATATATCTTGAAACTCTGTGGTTAGGAAATTAAAGATGTTGGTTACCTTCTTGGTGAGTTGTGCCCCTCACCCCTATGCCAGCCTCCACCTCACTTATTTGCTCTTCAGCTGTACCTATTATGTGACTCAGTGTATCAGTGAGGGGTTTTGGTGGGGGCTTTTTTGACAAAAATTTTAATAATATCAATGTGTATGATTCCCAATTTCTCTCTTTTTTTTTTTTTTTCCAGACAGGCCATTAGTTAAGTAGTTTTTTTTGGTTTTTTTTAATAATTTTTATTTTTGTTTAAAGTATTACAGATGTCCCTTTTTTTCCCCAATGACCCTTTCCCCCCCGTTCCTTCCCCCTTCCCAGTCCTCTCCCCACCATTGTCCGTGTCCTTGGGTTGTGCATATATGCATATAAATTCTTTGGTTACTCTCTCCCCCTCCACCCCCTCTCCCCCTTCCCTCTGACATTTCGTCAGTCTCAACTATGCTTCCATGTCACTGAATCTATTCTGCTCGTCAGTTTATTAAGTTCTTTAGATTCCATGTATATTTCTCTTTTAGTGGTCTTTGGCGTAAACGCTATTCCACCTGATGTTAAATTGCTACCCCTGCTTCCTTTAGTTAGCATCCTTGGTGCGCTGTTTCACCCTTAGGTATTCAACCTTTATCTAGTTCTGAGCTGGATGTGTCTCTTGTGAAGAGCACTGAGATGGATTTTGTTGGTTTCCTCAACCTAACAATCAATTTTTTCCCCATTGCTTTTTCAGAGAGAGTGGGAGGGAGAGAGAAAGAGAGAGAAACATCGATGTAAGAGAGACAGCTGCCTCTCGCACGGGCCCCAACCGGTTCCTGGGATTGAGTCACAACTGAGGTACATGCCCTTGGCCAGAACTGAACCCGGGACCCTTCAGTCCACAGGCCAATGCTGTAACCACTGAGCCATACTGGCTAGGGCCAGATCAATCTTTTAATACATTGTATTTTAATGATTACTCTAAAACTGTTACTTTCTTTTATATGTATAGAATTAACTTCCAGTTTCTAGCTCCTGATTCTGTCCTCTTGAATACAAGCATCTGAGAGGGAAACCTGGCGCCTCTGTCACGGTCTTGAATTTCCTCAGGTGTTTGTGATTTTTGGGGTGTGTTCATTTTTGAGAATCTCTGCTTTCCTGCATGTCGTGCTTAGAAGTTTGCTTCTGATAACTGTGGAGAAGTGGTACTTGCCGCTGAGGGGTCGAAGGCTAGCCCGGGTGCCAGGCTTCCAGCCCCAAGTGGGGCTCAGCGCAGAGGGAGGGCGGGGGCTACCTCCCGCCTGACCATCCCAACATTCACCTCAGGCCCTTCCCGCTTCTCGTTGCTGCTGACTTGGAGCTCAGAATGTGTGTGTTTCGGGTTAGTGGTTTCAGTTGCTCATTTATCACTCTGGATATGGTCCCATGTGCTTTTTGATTTTTAGGAATTCCTTAAGATTATTTCTGCTGATGAAAGTTTTTCCTATAGCCTAGAACCGTTATTGATTTGTTCTCTAAAAAAGTTTTCTGTCATATGGGATTTGGAATTGAAGGGAAGTTAAAAATGCTGATCCATTCTTGTTACTCATCCGTCTCATACTCCCCCTCCCTTCCTTCCCATGGGGGTGGGGATGAAAATGCAGAAAGACACTGTGAGCTCTTGTGTCTGTTGCAGGTAAGTGGGCACTCAGCTTGCAGACGTAGTAGTTTAGCTTCTGTTTAGCCTGCCCCCGGCTGATCCTGAAGCTGCAGACTGCAAGCTCCTAGGGCAAGGCTGTGCCAGCAGCCCCACTCACGTTCCCTCAGCTGCAAGGAGACGCCAGCCTGCATCACCCACCACCAGCCTGCATCACCCACCAGCCTGCATCACCCACCAGCCTGCATCACCCAGGGCTGTGAGGAAGAGGGGAGAGCTGAGGCCAAAGGAGGTCATGGGGAGGGAGGTTAATGCGGAATGGCCTCCTAGAGGGAGGGCACATTTTAGGAGAAGGAAAGAAGCTTTAGTCCTGCCAGTCCTTCTTGAAGACCCAGCTCAGGTGCTCCCTCCTCTGAGGAAGGCTGCCAGGCTCACAGCGCTCTCCCCTGCTTGGTGTTTCCCAGGGAAGGAACTGTGTGTGTGACATCTTTGAGCTCCCCTCAGTATATGCTGGTTAAGTTACTTGAATTAATTGTAAGCATTTGAAAGAATCCAAATTGTTTGCTCTGCCTGCTTGAGTCGCTCAAGTCTCCACAGCACTTCAGCTCCTCCCTTGTCCAGGTCAGAGTAACACCCCTGCCCGTTTACAGATAATTAGACTCAGGAGGGAACCCAACCCCAAGTCAGGGCCACCATGGGCCTCCCCCACCTCCGTGGTGGCGCAGGCACCATTCCCACGGGCGCTCAGCTTCCCTTCTCTCTCTGCTGAGCAGCTCTGGAGGCCGGAGGAGATCCCAGCTCTCCCGTACGTGAGCGGGGACGACCTGCTGCTGCTGGCCACCTTGGTAAAGATTCGGCGCCTGTTGCATAAACTTGAAGGATGTGTGAATTTTCCCTCGGGCCAGGTGTGGGAAAAATTTAAACCACCTTCCTACCTTTCCGGACTCTCTGTAAAACTAATGGCCCTTTGTCACAATTCCGGAATAAAGCCGGATACAATGGCAGCGATTACAGCCCTAATAAATGAAAAAAATTAACCAAGAATGATGATGCTTTCATTGGTTTTGTTGATTTTTTTAGGAGGGGGTCTGGGAGATTTCAAGAAAAGTGTATAAAATGACTAGGAAAGACCAAGAAATATGCTTTATTATAAATTTGGAACATATCCTGAGTTGTTCGTGGTCGGGGGTGTTAATGTAAGAAACATTCAAACCTGTGAAGAGTTTTTGTGAGTTTATTTGAGCCAAAAAGACTGTGGACATATGCCAAGGAAAACATTAATGGATTGTGATGATGCTCTGGGGAATGGCAGTTTTGCACCTTGCTTTATCGATGCCCATCAAAGGAGGAGGCATAAGTGGGGTACACGGGATCTATTGGTGATAGATCAGGGGGGTGGGAGAAAGCAAAGGAGGGGACCTCTGGGATTGGGTAAAAGCAAAATGATAGACACATGCTTCTCTTACATAGGTGGGCACAGTTCACAAGACAGCAGCAGCAATGGGAGGTCTCTGCCTAGTGCACTGAGGGCTGGGAAAAGGGAATTACTGCGTTTGCAAAGGCATGTTAGTCAGGTGTTAGCTCAAATAAAAAAGACAAGCCACAGGCCTGGTTTAAGTGAAAATTAACCTTTGTGAAGGAAAAATACTGCCTTAGAGTGTGACTACCCACCACAACCACAGACTGCTTTTAGTTTAATTTCAGACCATCTTTTGTGGTTACTTTTAGGCCTGAGTTTGCAAGACCACCATGCAGGCCTCCCCTGAGTTTGTCAGGTTTAGTGTGTGGCCTCTTTTCATTCACAGGGGAAAAAAACAACTCACTTTGGGGACACCAGAGAATGAGCGAATCAGCAGAAGTGCCCATGTCAGTTAGAGTCCCATCAGGCAAAGAGAACGCAGGGAGAGGTGGCTGCTTCTGAACCATCCTAAGGGCTGGGGAAGGGCTGGCGTCGTAGGCGGCTGGGGTGGCGCTGGGTGTTAGGCTGATGGGGTCAGGCCGACCTGGAGTCAGCAGCCTCTGTACTTGGGTTCTGGCTAGGAAAGAAGTCAGAGCCAAGACCCAAACTACAGGAGAACATTTATTTGGTAAAATTACAGAGGTGGAAGAAGTAATTTCTAGAAGAAAAGGGCTTAGGGAACAAGTTATAGAGGCAAAGGAAGGGTCCTTAGCACTTGGGGTCATCATTCAGTGCAGCTGGTCCTGAGGTCGGCTGTGGCTGATTTTGTTGCTTTTCTGGGCCTGGAGCTGAAACACTACTGAGGCCTAAGAAACACAAATGAGGCCTAAATGTTATCTCTAAGGAGGAAAGGTCAGGGGGTCCAAATCACATGACCAGTGATACGCTAGGGGAGGAAAGGCCACCCTGGGGGCGAGGTCCCACCCTACAGCTGTCCTTTGCTAGGCACCCAGGGCTTTCCGTCCTGGTGACCTTCTGTACCTGGCCCATCGTCCTTGCTTGCTCACATCTGTCTAACTGCTGGCCACAAAGGGAAGGAAGCCCTGCTGGCTTTCAGGAAATCTGGAAGTGAGAGGATCTCGGGAAGCCAGGAAGCCAACAGCACCCGGGTGCTAGTGGCAGGAGCTCTCCTGGAAGCTGCTCCTCACGTTAGCGCGCGGAAATGATGAGAACCCACCACCTGCCTGAATGAATGGCGGCGGCTGCTCTCCCTCCTGGCGAACCTCAGGCAGGCGCCTCCTGCTGGGGAATCGTAACTGGAACATGCTGCATCTCCCCTTCCAAGGGGAGAGAAGTGGGGTGTTGCCCAGTCGGCAGGGACAGGGACAGCCCAGCAGTTTCTTCTGTCAACGATAAAGGTGCTTTAGAGCACAAAGCAGAGCTGAGAAATGGGATATGCTTGGAGCACCCAAACATTGCCTCTCCTGACTTCCCAGACTTCTCACTTCCCTGTTCTTTTCTTTTAAATTTTATAATAGTTCTAGTGACATGGAATGGCCACATAGAGCCTAAAGCTATCATTCACCTTTATTTTTTAAATTTATTTTCAATTATAGTCGACATACACTATTATATTCGTTTCAGTGTACAACATAGTGATTCAACACTGACTTACAAGGTGATCACAGTAAGCCTAGTAAGCATCTGTCGCGATACGTCGCTATTACGATTGTTAACCTGTCCCCTGTGCTTTACAGCACATCTCCGTGACTTACACTGTAACTGGGCATTTACGCTTCGTAACCCCTCCGCCCTTTCTGCCCCGTGTCTGTTCTCCGGGAGATGTCTGAGGGGCAGTTCCTCACGGTCTTGATCAAAGCTAAATCTCTCTTCTGTTTCTGACTCTTGCTTCTTCCTTTTCATTGATGAGGAAACTTAGTTTCCATCAAGTGAGAGAGAAATAGTAAATTAATTGAGCTAATGTGTACAAGCATATCTCTGAAAAATAGCACATGACAGTACAGATAACAGTCACAAGGAAGCTTCAACTGAATCTCTTCTTGTACATCAGTAAAACCTACCTCGGGGCGCGAAGCCCACAGCAGATCCTGAATAAGGCCTTGATTGATTGGGCGAAGGCCGAATGATAAGATTTTTTTTTTTTTTTTCAGTAGTTTCAGATGTACAGCATAGTGGTTATATAATCATATACTTTACAAAGTAATCCTTCAATATTTCAAGTACCCACCTGGCACCATAAAAAGTTATTACAATATTATTGACTATATTCTCTATGCTATACTTTACATCTCTGTAATTATTTTGTGACTACCAACTTGTAATTCTTAACCCCTTCACCTTTTTCAACACCGCCTCCCTCCCCTCTGCCAATCATCAGTCTGATCTCTGTATCAGTGAGTCTGTTTCTATTTTGTTTGTTTATTTTGTTCTTTAGATTCCACATGTAAGAGAAATCATGTGGTATTTATTTGTCTTTCTCTGTCTTATTTCACTTAGCACAATACTCTCCAGGTCCATTCATGTCACAAATGGTAAGATTTCATTCTCTTTTGTACCCAAGTAATATTCCCCTATGTATGTACCCCTCTTCTTTATTCACCGGTCTACTGATGGACACTTGGGCTGCTTCCATAGCTTGGCTATTATAAATAAAGCTGCAGTGAACATAAGGGTGCATATATGCTTTTGAATTAGTGTTCTGGTTTCTTTGGGTATATATGCAGAAGCAGAATTGCTGGGTCATAAGGCAGCTCCATTTTTAATTTCTTGAGGAACCTCTATACTGTTTTCCACAGTGGCTGCACCAGTCTGCATTCCCACCATCAGTGCACTAAGGTTCCCTTTTCTCCACACCCTCGCCAGCACTTGTTTGTTGATTTATTGATGGAGCCATTCTGACAGGTGTGAGGTGCTATCTCATTGTGGTTTTAATTTGCATCTCTCTGATGATTAGTGATGTTGAGCATCTTTTCATATGTCTGTTGGCCATCTGTATGTCCTCTTTGGAGAAGTACATATCCAGGTCCTCTGCCATTTTTTAATTGGATTATTTATTTTGGTGTTGAGTTGTATTTCCTTATAAATTTTGGATATTAACTCCTGATCGAATATATCATTGGCAAATATCTTCGTCTATTCAGTAGGTTGCCTTTCTGTTTTGTTAGTGGTTTCCTTTGCTGTGCAAAAATTTTTTGGTTTGATGAAGTCCTATTTATTATTTAGTTAGTTAGTTAGTTTCCCTTGCCCAAGGCAATATGTCAGAAAAAATATTGCTGTGAGAATTGTTGGGGATTTTACTGTGTGTTTTCTTCTAGGAGTTACAAGGTTTCAAGTCTTACATTTAAGACTTTAATCCACTTTGAGTTTAATCCACTCTTATATGTGGTGTAATAAGGTGGTCTAGTTTCTTTCTTTCTTCTGTTCTTTTTTTCATGTATCTGTCAATTTTTCCTGACACCATTCACTGAATAGACTGTTTTTACCCTGTATGTTTTTGCCTCCTTTGTCATGTATTGATTGACCATATAAGTGTGGGTTTACTTCTGGGCTCTCTATTCTGTTCTTTTGATCTATATGTCTGTTTTGTGGTTGTTGTTGTTTTTAAAATATATCTATTGATTTCAGAGAGAGGAGAGGGGGAGAGAGAGATAGAAACATCAACGACGAGAGAGTCATTGGGCACGCCCCCAACTGGGGATCGAGCCCGCAACCCGGGCATGTGCCCTGACTGGGAATCGAACCCCAATCGCCTGGATCCTAGGTTGACGCTCAACCACTGAGCCACGCCAGCCGGGCTATATGTCTGTTTTATGCCAGTACCATGCTATTTTGATTACCAAGGCCTTGTAGTATAGTTTAATTATCAGGTAGCATGATACCTCCAACTTTGTTCTTTCTTAAGATTGATGTGGCTATTTGGGGTCTTTTGTGGTTCCATATACATTTTTGCATTATTTGTTCTAGTTCTGTGAGAAATGCCATTGGTATTTTGATAGGGATTGCATTGAATCTATAGATTGCTTTGGGTAGTATGGACATATTTTAACAAGATTAATTCTTCCTATCCATGAGCACAGTATATGCTTCCATTTACAGTATTTGTATATTCTCTAATTTCTTTCATCAGTGTCTTATAATTTTCCAAATACAGGTCTTTTACCAGCTTGGTTAAATTCATTCCTTGGTATTTTATTTTTTCTTATTACACAGTTGTAAATGGAACTGTTTTCTTAGTTTATCTTTCTGGTAGTTCATTGTTGGTGTATAGAAATGCAACCAATTGCCCCAGCCGGTGTGGCTCAATGGTTAGAGCATTGACCCACACACCACAGGGTCAACCGTTCAATTCCTGGTCAAGGGGACATACCTGGGTTGCAGGTTTGTCCTAAAGCTCCAGTTGGGGCATAGGTGGGAGGCAACCAATTGATGTGTCTCTTACATCGATGTTTCTCTCTCCTCTCTCTCTCCCCCCTCCCCCACTCCCTTCCACTCTCTAAAAATCAATGGAAAAAAATATCCTTTGGTGAGAATTAAAAAAAAAAATTCAACTGATTTCTGAAAATTTTTTTTTAATCCCATTTTGATGAAATCATTTATCAGTTTTGCACATGACAGTTT